TCGCCGGCTCAGCTGTGCGGTGAGTCCCCCCGCTCACCGGTTACCCCTTATGGTGTAGGCGTGTGGAAGTGTCATCGTGAGGTATCGTTAAGTTAACATTTTTCATCGCTTGTCTATGGTCCTATCTGCAGGAAGATTTCGTTTGAAACAGAAATATTCACAATACCTGTGCTGTTTAATTCACCTAGTGTCTGTACTTCACCATCTATCCGTTAACAGGTCTGATTTAAAAAAAATCATGCATAGTTTATTGTTTATCGGGAAGTTGACGGGTCCGGCGCCGAAATGGTGGGTTCATGGGGATGTATAACCACAAGTTCGGGGTGTCCGGGGGTGTCGCACAGTGACCAGTCTCCAGTCTTGGCAGCTTACGCATCGGCCACCCACCGGTGCCCAGGAGGGTGATAGGACTGTCTATTTTCGGTACTGGCCGCACAGTACAGCGCACCCCCTCGGGGTGCACGGGAAGTTGTGCCCGTCACTACTAGGCTCGGAAAAAGGTGTACACTGAAAAATAACTACAACCGCGTCAGCAGCAAATTTCCCACAGTTTTAAATTAAGTAACTCGAGATGTCAATATCATAAAACCATCAATGTTGGAGTATTGAATGTACCTGATGTTAAAGCTTATTTGCCGCAGTGCACCATATAAAGTAAGTGTCGGTAACGAGAGTGACATTCGATAGAGCCAACCGCAGGTCCATGCGGTGCGGGGCGGGGCGGGGGCAGGGTGACGGAGGACGGTCGCGTTGCATAAGGCGACACCGCTCGGATGACGGATGAGCGACTGCACATGTGCAGGAGGGCGGTGAGGGAGGAGTGAGCGGAGGGCGAGTGTCTTGAATTTCTCGTCTTCGTCGTCGCACTGCGTTTGCGTTTGCACTGTACGCCTGGCAGAGCCTGGCAGAGCCACCCCCTCCCTCCCAGCCTCCCCCGCAGGGACATCAATGTCATTATCATTACGAGCCGACTGAGGTGCATCCCATGGCGAGGGTCCGGCTGCGCGCGCGTGCACCGCGGGGCTCTCGGCCGGCGGGGACCCCCTGGCCCTGACCCT